TCCGCGGCGGGGGGGGATCCGCGCCCGCTCCTGCCCGGGAGGGTTCGCTCCGTCCCGCTGCCGCCCTCCCCGCAGCGCCTTCTCCTTTGCGCTTCCACCCACGGTTTCATCGGGGACCCCCCCCAGTCCCATAATATTCCAGCATTGCCGGGCAGCAGATGCACGGGGAGCTGCTGTTGAATAGCTCCTGGGTGCTGCTGCTTTTGTTTTTACGGCGGGGCGGGGGAGGGGGCGCACGGTGCTGGAGAGGGGCCAGCGCCTGTTCAACGAAGTTTGGCATGGGAGTTTAAAACCCAACCCCGAATACTCACCCGATAGCTTTCTCTCAGCTCTCCCGAGTCCCAGCCAAAGCCTGGCTTTGGGCTCATTGAAAGAATAAGCAAATAAACCACAATGTGGGAACAGAGCCATCGCCATGACCTTTCGATCCAAGAACGTTTGCGAAATACTACTCAGTGGCTTGTTTTGAAATACTTGGTATATTCTTACACTGGGTGCATAACGAAACACAGTTTGATGCTGTCCAGTGCTTAGTCTGTAGCAATATTTTTAAACACGTTTTACACAAGTTATTTATTGACTGAAGGAGTACTTAAACTCCGGGATCAAGGGCAAAATGATGAAAATTCAGTAGGAACCATGGGCCAAAGTATAGATTTGGCTCATTCGTGGGGGTTCATTGATGTCTGCAGGGTGGTAGAAGCCTGTTGGGTCCTTACTGCTGCTGCCTGGCCCAGTCTTCCATGGTGGAAATTGCCATCTTGGCAACTAAGTGCCAGGAGAGCTGAGCACCACATGCCGGCTAAAAGTCTGTCTGTGTGACTTTGGTGGCACTTGTTGAGCCAGGCTGAAGTACAACGGGTGACTTCGGCGGGAGAGAAAGCGCTGTTCAGCCTCACAGCAGGTTGCCCGTGCAATTTGTTTTTCAGAATGGATGAGAACTACATCCTCCTGCCACACGGGGTCAATTTCCAGGAGGCGATTTTCCCGGATACCCAGGAGAACAGAAGGATGTTTGCCAGCCTTTTCCAGTTTTCTAACTGCTCGCAGGCGCAGCATGTGTTGAGCTTCTCCAGTGACTGGGAGATTCAAGAGGACAACCGGGTAAGGGATTTATTTGCTCCCCAGTGCTTGTTTTCTAAGTGGGCACAGGCATTCCCATGTCATTTGCAAACATATATATATGAATGCAGAGCAGCAGGTCCCTGATTTTCCTGGTCCTTCGGTGGTATCACTGGCAAAGTAACACACTGGTGGGGAGATGTTAAACTCTGTTTTCAAAGCTGACCTCTGTGTTAGCTCTTTAGCTTCCCATGGACCGGAGCAAATCTTGGTATCAACCTGTTCGTGAGCAATAGGTTGGAAACCAGTATTGCTTGCAATCCTGTCCTACTCCACCCAGGTCGTTCCTGGGTTTGCTATCTCTAGACCCCATGCTTTAACTTCAGCTGAAATGTTCAGGAGCAGAGCTTTGCTTTTTTACTTCTGTGTTCATCTCATGTAGCGAAAGCAGTGCCTGGACCATGACAGACTGTAAGGGATTATTTTGCCTAACTCCACACAACAGCATAAACATCTACTTCTGAACTAATCACTCTAAGCTGTCTTTGTAGCAGCTGGGGAAAAATAGACTCTTGAGGGCATGGTTCGTCTGAGCGATGAGGGCATGGTTCATATGAACGACGCCAGCACCTACTTCTGAACAAGCTGAATGAAATGCCTCTTTCTCCTCTCAAGGGAGGCCGCAGCAAGTAGTTCACCCTCTAGGCAATCCTCCCTTAAGAAAGTACATTTTTAGTATGGAAAGTCCAACGATGCCCATTGTTAGTGGCTTCTGAGCCCCCTTGTGGGGCTGTAGTGTGTGTAATAAATGCAGGATTTTAATAAATACTTCCTTGGCAGCGAGGAGCAACCTGCAGTTATGTGTGTGCATGTTCTGGATGTGCATATACATTTGCAAAAGTGGAACTTGGAGAGCTGTTTTAGTGCCAAACCTTCTTTTATGAGGCTAGTGATTTCCACTGGTAGCCGAGAACATTTTAAGCGTCTCTTTAGGACAGGATGAACAGGACATATGTCATCGCTTGTGTCTTCTGTGAATTCATCCAAGGCACAGTATTTGCGTACGGCAGCAGATGCACTAGTGGCTTGTTTGGGAGATGGATGGAGGGAGCTCGGTAGCTGCCTGAGCCCTTTCCCTTCACCAGCTGGCCAACCGCCAGCGTACAAAGTTTGAGCTGCTGCGTGGCCAGTGGCAAACCCTGCTCACCTGCAGTTATGTGTGTGCATGTTCTGGATGTGCATATACATTTGCAAAAGTGGAACTTGGAGAGCTGTTTTAGTGCCAAACCTTCTTTTATGAGGCTAGTGATTTCCACTGGTAGCCGAGAACATTTTAAGCGTCTCTTTAGGACAGGATGAACAGGACATATGTCATCGCTTGTGTCTTCTGTGAATTCATCCAAGGCACAGTATTTGCGTACGGCAGCAGATGCACTAGTGGCTTGTTTGGGAGATGGATGGAGGGAGCTCGGTAGCTGCCTGAGCCCTTTCCCTTCACCAGCTGGCCAACCGCCAGCGTACAAAGTTTGAGCTGCTGCGTGGCCAGTGGCACAACCCTGCTCCTTGGGATGCCCCGTGCGCGAGCGTTTTCCCACTGCTGATGTTTTGGGGAGGGAGTGGTGAACGGTGATGTTCAAATATATATTTGGGGATAACAGCAGGAATTGGTATTTAAGAGAAAATTAATTATCTTACAATTAGATCACAGAGCTGTAACCCTGGCTGGGCAAGAAGGGGGAGGTGTAGAGCCCTAGTCCCAGCCCTGCCTCCTCCCTGCCAGCCTGCAGGTTCCCCAGTGCCCCAAGCAACGTATTTGGCATGTAAAGGCACTGCCGCTGCCAAATCCACAGATTTTGCTCCAGGGGAGCAAAATGGCATTGGGGGACCACCAGATCCAACTCCCAGTGTCTGCTTGTGATGCCTCTGCAGTGTTTATTTAGCCGCGTTGAGCTAAATATAGGGGATCTTGATGGGTTGGTGCTCATTTATGCCAGCAGTGACTCTCGCCGGTTAGCTTTAATGGAAATCACAAGGCAGAAACCCCCAGGGTAAGTTGGGGCAACTGAAAGCATATGTATCAAAAGTGCATTTCAGCTGTTGCGCTCTTTGACCCCGCGCAGCTGTGAGCAGATTAGGGGGGGATTAGAGCTGCTGGTCGCACAGACCGGGGCTGGGGGCTTTACATACTTCAACACCCACCCGTCGGGTGAATAAATTCAGCGCAACTGACGGACACTTTGTCTCCCCTTTGTAATGAAAAGTAAAAGCTTCCTCTGCACCAGTTAAAAATAGTTCGGGCTGACTGTGCTCCCATTCAGCTCCTACATCTGTGTTTGCCCAGCCGAGCACTGGCCTCTGGCGCCTGCGTGCCCCAGCCTGGGAAGGGGATGGCGTTTCTGGCTGCCATGGTATTAGGAATTTGTTCCCCAGCTCTTCCCAATGCGGGTGCCCATGTCCAGGGTGCAGCTCTCCTTAGTGTTTTGCTCCTCTCTTTGCCTTGTCACATCCGATGGTGACTTTCCCAATTGCCACTGTGTCTGCTTGCATCCCATCACAGTGTGAACAATTTCAATTCCCAAATGCGCTCGGTCGAGCTGTCCCATGCTGGCTCCTGAGCTGAAACCTGTGGCGTGTGCCGGCTTCATGGCACAGAAAGTGAGCATTACTCGGAGCATTATTCTTGAAGCTTTTTGGAAAAGAGGCTCTTAGGGAGTCTGGGGACATCTGCAATGGTGTCAAGCTGTAAAGAACCTAGACAGAGAGAAAAGGGTCTTCTACTGAGGCTCACATTACAGTGAGGAGTCAGGGGTCTCACTAGCTGCTGCGTACTGACATGAATTGCTAGTTAAAACCCATCATGGATGTTTTGTGCAGTCAGAGGGAAGAGATGGAGACACTATGATCCTCAGAGCAGAAGGCAGCTGGGGCGAAGGTCTCATGCCAGGTGTTAGTAGCTAAGGTTCTGCCTCTGGGACTTGGGACAGCTGTGTGCAGGGACATCTTAAAAAACAGCTCTGTCAAAAAGCAACGTGCCCAAGTAGGTTTGAAATCTCCTGTTTACAGCTGGATCCTGTACTCTGAAAGACTTTTTGAATCTGTGTATTTGCTTATGGCCTTGTGCCCTACTCTTGATATATCTCCGGGGTGGACATTTTAAGGGAGAATTCTGTGCTGGAAGCGTGTACAGTTGCAATGAATAATTTGTGTTTGTAGTTCTGGGGTGCTCAGCCAGAAGGTGAGAGAGCCCAGTGATGGGTGAACGTCTTTTGCCTCATGTAATGCTACTCCCAGCAAGAGGTCTCTTCTGCGGGGTGTGCCTGAGCCGGTCACAGAGCAGACCCAAAGGTGACCGCTGACATGCTGTTCTCCTGCTCACCCTCTTCTCTCTGCAGTGCTCCTTGCATGCAGGCAGCCTTGTCTGGGCTGTCCCAATGGGTGAAATGAGGAAAACCCTGGCAGCTCCTTCTCCTCCTCCCAGCAAATGTGTCTGATGATGCAAAAGAGAGCAAAGAGATGTGCAGGAACTTCTTGATGCACTGGGATGCACAACCTGCATTTTCCATCGTGGGAAAACCCTTTTAATTTTCGGAAAGCCCCATGGCACATGGTGAAAGGAGGCCAGACCCAAGGCACATCTCGTTGAGGATAATACATTCCTCATCTTGGGCCTGCTGCTGTTGCTGGAAGCTAATTCCAGCTGCATTTTTAAGCCCCTTGCAGTCTGGGCTGAGGGCCAGGCTCTGCTTTCCATAGTTTTCCAATAACCCCACAGCCTTATAAATTCAGGTGCTTGTTCTGGCCACTCTGGAGAGCAACAGTAGCTCCAGCTGTCGTTTCTTTAGGCACTTGCATTTTGGCTTCCAGGTTTGCAGAGGCAGTAATTAATTTGGCTCCATCCTGACTTTTCTCACAGCTCCTTAGTGATGTTTGCAGACCTCCTGCTTTACTCCGGCTTGCCGTTGCAGCGGTTTCCGCAAGGTTGTTGCTAAAGCCCTGAGTTCCCACCAGGCCTGGGGTTGGAGCTGGGTTTGTAATGAACGGCTGCAACTTCTCACAAAACAAGGGGCCCCTTCTTGCAGCATGTTGCAGGTACCTGGGCACCAGGCTTGGCCCAGCCCCAGAGCTGGTGTTGATGGAGATAATAACACAGGAATGCTCCTTTTTCCGCTTCGGAGTTACAGTTTTAGTTGATTCTTCCCACCCTCCGCCCGTGGGAGAAATGCAGTATTCGCCTATCCAAGGAATCTTGGAGTCACAGCAGTTTCTTTTAATAAGGTGCTTTTATTAAAGAAAGGAACAATTAAGAAGTAATAAAAACCTAATTAAAATTCTTAAAAGCTCCATGTTTTTACCCAAGTCTCATGTTGACCCCCTGAGGGAAGACCTGCAGATGTATCAAAGAGTTTGCAAAGTCTGACAGCCTCCTACGTGGGCATGCCAGGCTGTCCCACACCAGCTGGCATGCAGCCTCCAGGTCGCCCCTGCCTTGGGAAACCACCCCAGCCACCTCTTTTCCTTTACCCCCTGCTTCCCTCAGTGCCCCTAAAATTGCTCACAAACCCCTACGTGCCACCCAGTTATTCTCCAGTGCAGCTGGTGTTTCATTACCGATGCTTTTAGGGAGCAGCCTTGCGACCTTTTCTTGCTCAAAAGGAGTCCGAGGGGTCAGACTTTTTTTGGGAGATGGGGATGAGCATTCAGCGGTGCAGCCAGCATCCTCCTCCAGGGATGGAGATGGGGAATGGGAAAATCCTGAAGGCCCGGAGAGCATCTGTATGTGCCAGTGCCTCTTTCTCATGACAAATTTTTCTTATGGCTAAGTGCTAAATGACACTTTTCTACACTCGGGGGTTGATTTCTTCTTGCTCAAGATGGGAGGTGGGAATCGTCGCTGCGGTTTCCCCCCTCTCACAGTGCCTCCTGCTAAGCCTGGGGGTGATGCAGTGGGTTGGGATTGAAATCTTGCTCTCCTGCAGAGTTTTACCATTTTAGTGCAAATCTAGAGGCTGTAATTTCTCCTCCTGACTTGGCCTTCTGCAGGG